TTTCCCAAATTTTCTATTAATTTCTCCCATTTTTTTGTACTTCCATATAATCTAATCCATACTAACTGTCCTACAATATATTCCAATTCCCTTCTATCAATATCCTCCACAATTACATTCGTTTTACAAGATACTAACATATCCAAAAACATTCTTACCTTCAGGCCTATTATTTTTTCTGCCGGAGACAAACCATCATTACCCATCGCATTATTATAATACAAATTCTTCAACCACATTTCTTTTTTTCCACTTTTGGTTTTCTTCAACCATCCTTTAACCATCACTACCATCCGCTCCGCCTGTCCATTAGAACTGGGATGATACGGTGGCGTTAACACATGATATACACCCATTTTCTCACAGAATCTCTTGTATTCTTCCCCGATAAAAGCTGGTCCACCATCCGATACCACAGTTTACGGAATACCAAACTTCGACCATACTTTTTTAAAATGTTTAATCATAATATTCGCCATCAACCCATGAATTTCTACAAATTCTACCTTTGGAGAATGCATCTACACTTAATATATACTTCTTTCCTTCATATTTGAAAAAATCAACATGAACCCTCTCTCCTGGTTCTACAACTTTTGGCCATGTACTATTTTTATCCTTACGGGGCATGTCAGACCATGCATTGCAAATCTCACATTCTTTTCCCAATTTATCAATATCTTCGTTCCTTTTCGGCCACCATACGTACTCTCTTCCCCATAGTTTCATACGAGTAACTCCTTGATGACCCGCATGTATAACATTCAAAAAATTTTCCCTCAATTTCCGGGGTATAACAGCTCGGGGTCCCCTCCCTCATAATACAATCGTATACTATGTTAATTCTGTTTCAATATTTTTGAAAACTTTATCATCATCTTTCCATGATCTCTTTCCCATTAGACATAATTTAACTACCGCTAATTCTCTATCTTTCCTTGTAAACCTTTTTATATCTTCCCATGTCGTTGGACTACCCTTTATACTTCTCATTACCGTACGTACAAGACATTCTTCCCGATTATCAATTTTCAAAATCACCGATTCATCCAAACTTTCGCCCGCACCTAACCTAGACAAAATATCAGGTAACTGGTTTTCTTTTCCCCTTCGATATTTTAAATCCAAATCAAAACTTCCTACTAACAATAATTATCGCTGAAGTCGAGGCGATAACATCAACTCTTTGTTATCTTTCTTAAATAAATGGATCAACGGCATGATCTGTAAAAACAGCAAAATTCCTACCTATAAGGTATTCGCGACATTTCGTTAATCCAAAAATCACAGCTAAAGCCTCCTGTTCTGTCACTGAATACCGCTTTTCTACCTCTCGAAACATTCTCGAGAAAAATAAAACAGGTCTTCCATTCCATCTATCAAATGCAACATCGCCCCACCTACTCCTCTATTACAAGAATCTACAGCCAGAACTACTTACAGATCACTATTTAAACACACCAGAATGGGCTCTTTCCCAATTCTCTCCTTTAACGTTCTGAACGCAATCTCTTGTTCATCTATCCATTCAGTACCCCTTTCCTTAATAATTCATATAAAGGCGCAGCTATTTCCGCAAAACTCGATATAAACCGATGGTAGTAATTTACCATTCCCATAAACGACTGGACCTCTATATTACTGGTCGACCTATTTAAATTCGCAATACCCAACAAATTCTTATTTAATGGGTTTACTTTCATTTCATTAATCCTATGACCCAAATACGTTACTTTCGTTACTCCCAACACACTCTTTTCACGACTCGCCTTTAATCCTTTATTTCGAATTCTAATAAATAATTCTTCTAGCCTATCATCATGTTATTTCATCGTTATTCCTACAACCAAAACATCATCCATATAATAAAAAACACCCTCTAAACCTTGGAAAACAGCAGCCATTGTCCGCTGAAAAATAGGGGTTGATACACTTAACCAAAATGGTAATCGACAAAACGTAAACAAGCCCTTGAATGTCGTAATCGTCAACAACTTCCTAATCGTTTTAGCCATCGGTAATTGCAAATATGCACACAAAAAATTAATCTTGGAAAAATATTTTCCATCTTTCAAACTAGCCAAAATTTCTTCTATTTGAGGTAATGGATATTTCACCTCTACAACCTAAGGATTCAAGGTCACCCTAAAATCTGCACATAACCTCAATTTTCCATTGGCCTTTCTAGCAGGAACCAACGGAGTTGCCAATTCACTGTACCCAATAGGACAAATAATTCCATCTTTCACCCAGTTATCCAACTCTTTTCATTTCCGCCCTCCATTCAAATGGAACTCTTCGCACCGGACAATACTGCGGTACAAAATCTTCCTTTAAACGGAGATCAACTTCATAATCCACTAAACACCCTAATTTCTCCTCAAATATTTTACTATAACTATTCATTAAAACCGCCACTGCAAGCCTCCAATTTTCCAAACTCGACAATTGTTCCTTTCCTTTCCCTCCATTAATCTCTTTTTCCTCTTTTTCCTCATTTTTTCTTACAAATTTTGCCGGGAAATTCTGTAACACTGGTATATCTTTCTTTTCATTATCCAGTTCCTTACACATTTCTTGACTAATAATTTTCTCCTCTATTTCTTCTGTTTTCGTTACTATTTTTATTTCATTATTATTTTGCTCATTAATACATTTTCTACAAGATATTTCTTTTCTTACCTTTATAGGCTTGTCATTTTCCATAAGATTAACACCTTGCGACAACTCAGTATATCTTACCTTTCTTTTTTTAACTGGAACTATCCGCGTATATTTTTTTACAAACTCACTTTTCCCATTGCCCATCACACCATTTCCAATGATTTCATTTTTTACATGACATAATTCTCGATTTTCTATTTCAACGTTCTGAACTTCAACCATTTCATCTCGTTTAATTTCATTTGAAAAAATACCCCAAAAATTATTTAATAGACCAATCTTTCCCACCCCATAATCGTCTCCACTTTTTTATCAACAATCCACAAATTTAAATAATCAACTATACCATTTATCACAAACGGTAGTTCAATTTTTCCTAAAACCTTTATTTCCGATCCGTCAAACTGTTTAACTATCATCTCCTCTTTAATTATATTGCCAATATTCACAATAATTTTCATAACTTACAATCGATATCGCAGCACCTGTATCCAATAGCATAGTTATTTCTCTAATCCCTACAACTACTTCTACACGAGGACATTTATCCTTCTCACTTTTGTTCTCTAATTTTAAAATAGGAATTCTATAATTTTTTATATTTTCACCATACCAAATTTACATTTCTTTTATCTACTAAATTTCTTTTAACTTCTACATCTCCACTCACACGAAATTTCATTTCATTCTTTAATATAATAACTTCTATTTTATTATTTTCGCTATCATTTAGTCACCTCTCTCGACATTCTATAGCACGATGTCCTTCCTTTCTGCACTTAAAACACATAATTTCATCTTTACCTTCTTTCAAAATATCACTATTTTATATCATTCTTACATTAGATGTCGGTGCTAAGTATTTCATTGCCGGAAATGCTTCCCATTTATCGGTTCTCTTACATAACTATTCTCTTTAACATGTCCCATTTTTCCACATCTTTCACATTGAAATGTTTTTTGATTATTTCCAATAATACGATACGTCGGAACATAACATTTTTCACTACTGCCCCACTCCTCCACATCTATTACATTTAATCGGTTGCTTGTTAAACATTGCACCGTTCTGCACACAATTTCTACTTATATGCCCCAATTCTCCACATGAATAACATCTTATTAATCTTTGGACGATATAATCTATTTCGGAAAAATTTTCTTTTTCCCAACTTTCCTTTTTATTTCTCTGAAAGTTCATTACGTATTATACTCTTTAAAATAATCATATTCCTTATCATATTTTCGATCATTTCTTTTGAAATCCCTTTCATTATACCTTCTCGCACAATTTTCTCCATGACTATATTTCGTTTATCATCTCTCATTCCATTTTCATCTTTAATATCTAATCTCTTTCTATAATTCTTTTTATTTTTTTCCGATGTAACATAATACCAACTATCCATAAACATATCACTACTACAGCTATAATACAATTATTTTTCCGTATAACCATTTCTACATACTTTTTTGTTTTTATACTTCTTTTATAATTAAACATTTATTCTTTATCCATAATTTAATAAAAAATATATTAAAACTTTTATTATAAATATTTTAACATTGCTAAAAGTTAGACAATATATTAAACCTAATATAATTAATAATATCAAAATTATATAGATGCACATCATTTTATATATTCCAATAATTTTCACCTTTTATTTTTAAGAATCCTATTTATTTGCCTTGTGTCCCAGTTATTGTTCTAGGTTCATGCCAAACTTTTTGTAGACTTCTTATAACTTCTTTTAGATTGGGTTAATTAAACGATAAAATACTTATACTTTTATTTCTATAATATATTCTTTATAACCAAAATTATTTTATATAAAAAAATTCCTCTTATAAAAAAAATTAACTTTTTTTACGCGAAAAAAAAATTAACCAAAAAACATTTTTTTCTTCTTCAAATAAAAATAAATTACAACCTTCACTATCTCCCTTTCATATATAAAAATACAATATATCTTTGACATCATTTCTTTTTCATATAAAAATACAATATATCTTTGACATCATTTCTCTTTCATATAAAAATACAATATATCCTTGACATTATTGTAATAATAATTTAAATACACATAATACTACTACAGGTATAATGAGCTCTTCCAAAACTAAAAAAGGCGCATTATAAATGATAACTAATATTCTTTACCAATTTTGATGTTTAGATCACATAAAATTATTATATTATAAACCAATTTATTTCCATTTTAAAGGTTTTTTTAACGATGATTGACTGAAACAACCTGTTAAAAGATTTCGAAGCGGTTAAATTTATTGTTTAAATTTTGATTTGGGTTATTTTTACCAATTCAACAAAATGAGCTATGCAGAGTTTATAAATAACCTTGAAAATGGAAATAAGAAAGTTATCAATGGTTTTTTTGACTTATATGAATGGGTAGATGAATGGGTTTTAGAAGTAACTCAAATGCTTAAAAAGTAATAAATGTTTATTTTAAATTTATATTGCATATCTTTTATCAAGCCCATATTTGAGGAATAAGCGCGTTGTTGGACAAACATCAACTGTAAAAGCCATTCATAAAAAATTTCAAAGATCACAAAACAAATGTAACCAAATAAAAAATGGAAATTCTATTGTAATAATTTAATTTTTATTTTAAAATATCTATTAAATTTAAGGTACATTTAAATAAATCCAAAGTTAATAAACCAGATAGCATTCAAAATACTTCTAATTTGAGAAAATCCCACTCCAATACAAAGTTTAATACTATTATTTTTATATACTACCAGATATCAAATATATTAATCTAGTTTACACCTTATACTTATATTAATATTTATAACTTAAAAGATAAGAATTGCATTGTACACCATCATTAAATATAAATTAAAATGATAAATATAGTGATTTTTAATGCTATTTTTTTTTAAAATAAAAATATTGGTTTTTAATACAATTCATAACATGGAACCACTTCTAACTAAAGTATATGTACTTATTGCTGAAATTTGCATTTTTTTAAAAAATGATTGCCTTAATAGAATTGATATTAAAAAACTTGAAAACATAACAAATTTAAGAGCCCAGAAAAACTTTTTCAAATTTTTATAAATCAAAACCTTTCTTTTTGTCAAGGAGGCCTGCAAATTCATTTTTTTTTCTAGTCCCACCTTGAATTTTGAATGATTTAGCCCAACCTTTAATTTATTTTTAGGCCTGACCTGAATTTTTATTTATAATTAAATTATATATAAATTATACACATTTTTATAAAATTTTGCTTTATCCTTATAGGGTATTATTATTTTAATTTTGATTAAAAAAAAAGAAAATATTATATATCATTTTTTCAAATTTATTTATTGCTTGGTCAGATTTTTTTTTTAAATTAAAAAAATTATCAGAGCCAGGTCTTGGATGACAAAATTATTTAAAAATTGGTTTGTAAAATCAATGATTTAATAAAATATGGGAAAAATAGTCCAATTTATTCTCAGACTTTAAAATTCTGACTAAACTTATTACTCAGATTAGCTCTATGTTAATTGAATTTACTAAAATACATAACCAGAATATTTTATTCCTACCCATATATCTGATCTATCTAAAAAAACATAATTTTATAAATGTCTAATTCTTTTTATAAATTCCTACATTATACTATTAAACTGCCTCACCTTTTCCTAATTCTGATATTTTATCTTTTCTTACATTCATTCTTAAATTTTATCAAACATATTCAAATTATACCAACTAAAGTATATAATTATATAAAATTCTACCATCCCCTTTACCCTCAATTTATTCTATCCCCCTATTATCATTGGAAAATTTGTCTATCATTACCCTTTAGCTATTGATCATCATCTTGTCAACCATATTTAATGCTAAATTTAGACATTAATCTTTATCTAAAAATGTCTTAATTCTAAATATATATTGAAATATCTTTTTTTCTTGCGGTTCATACATGTTGTTAAAAAAACCATGAAAATATATATATTTTTCTTATAATCATTATAATTTTCGCACCCTCATTGTTGAAAAACAACTTTTTATAATCATTATATTTACATACCCACGTTGAAAAACCAATAAAATCTAATCATAGTTTTCCACACATGTTGTTGAACAACCACTAAAATCAAATAAATGGTTTTCATGTACAAGGATAAACTAATGAAATCTAATCATTATAGTTTTCATGTACAAGTTGAAAAACTAATGAAATCTATTCATTTTAGTTTTCACACACATTGTTGAAAAGCAGCTGACATATATATTTCTAGCACATGTTTTTTCTTTCTGCTATTATTAGAATAATGTTGCATAATTGATCTCAATTTTATTAATGATACAGAATAAAATTCCAATCTCTAATTGAGTTTGACTGTGGTATGTATTTTCTAACAATGAAAGCCATTTCTCTTCATAATTTTTTAATCAACAACCTAATATTTTACTAAATATAATCAACTTAGATGTATTTTATTCACATACCAGATCATCGAGGCTGTTTTTTTATTTTCTCGCAGCCCTTAATTAAAATAAAAGTTAAACATAAATCTTTAATAATAATTTAATTACTACATCAACATATTTTCTAACAATAATTGTATACTCTTTTTGACCTCTAATCTTATTCTCTGAATATTTTTAATTATATCATTCAACCAATTTATAATTTATTGGTATTTATTTCAGTCTTTATCTTAATCTTTGAATATTTTCACTTAGTATCTTTTTTCACATTTTAAATTATTTAATATCCACAATTTATGTTCCTTTTTATTTGTCAAGTTTTCTCTAGTGATCAATTATTCAATAACTTATAATAAATCTAAAATATCTTATAGATTCAATTAAATTCTGTTAGATTCAGTTGGTTTCTAAGTTTATCAGCAATTTCCCGTTAATTATAAAATTCACAAGCTTATTTATATATTCTTTGCTATGAATGCTGCCTTTAAAATTCTTTGTTTTTCTTGGAATTTCCGCATTAGCATGCAGTTTTACACAACTCCTTTTTCCCCATAAACCCATTGCCTGGCATTAGACTGAAATTTTCTTTTAACTTTATTTAATACAATATAAAAAAAACAATGGTCGCGATTATAATTTTTCCTCTCTTTTTATCATTTTCTCTTTACATTATTTATATATTCATAAATTAATAATTTTCAAAATATAATAAAAATTTAAACTATGACTTTTCGCCATTCAAATTTTTCTTTACTAAAACAAAACTATTTATGACTATTTAATAAAAAAAATTATTTGCATAATAATAAAAAATATTTTAATAACCAAAGATCGGACTAAGAAAAGATAATTGCTTCATAAAAAAAACTATTACGCGAAATATTTACATAATAATAAAAACAAACTAATTAATTACAAAATCATCTGAATTTAAAAAAAATATATAACAAAATATTCGCATAAATTGCGATAAGCATCCAACACCTTCGAAGGACTGCACAACAGTACTCTGTTTTTTCCTCCTGACAGTTCTTCTGAAGATTGCCCGGGCAATATCGAATGTTGTTCCCCACCAGGGCTGTTTCTAAGCAGTGCCGGATTAAAGGTTACCTACACAGCATAGACATCTCGCCCTGGATAGTACGTAAGGCCTTTCTCCCAGACGTACCTTTCTTCTGAATCGATCCCTTGCTATTTTTTAATCATTCTGATTCTACGATGCCACGAATATTTAAACTACTACTCTTAAATTTGTAATTAATTAATTGCTTAACTTAATTAAATCTTAAAAATTATAACTGGATATTTGGACATAAATAAGCTAACTAGAAATTATTTTATACATTTAAAAATTCATGCCAGTAGTTAAGCATATATATAAAAATGTATTCCATTTTTCTATTAATATTATTATTAATTTTTAATTGGACAAATTTAACCAATTGAAAGAAATTTTATTTATAATGTCTAGTTCCTTATTCTTTATTCGCAAATTTATATGTTACCCATTAGCAAAGAAAATATAAGCCCCGATAAAAACACCTATATAAAATCTAAAAAGATCCAAAACAAGAAAAAGACACTTCAAGATATTTCCGAGATCTCTACTGTACTTGCCATTGAAAATAACTCATTGATTGACAATACAGGCATTAGCGATATGACGACCACGATAGGTGGTAGGATACTGAGACCGAGGAATAGAGCAAACGTATACATAAACTAATTTGAAATATTATTTTTTTTTAGAATAAATAAGCCAGAAATGAAATTAAGTTAGATTGATTAAAAAATATTAATAGTAAGAAATAAGTATCTGCAAATTAATTTTTTTGATATGGGCCCTTTTTAAGGTTTAGGTTTGACCCGGCACAGTTTTGGTTCAATCATTAAGACATATATATATATATATATATATGTTAATTTTTTTAACGATGTATCGATTTATTTAATCTATAATGTATAACTATTTTTAAATCATAAACTATATAATAAAATGAAAACTTCATTATATAAAAACAGAATTGGGACCAAAAGTTCCCAAAAAATTAAAATAATAATATTGTATAATAGTAATATGAATTTTATACTTTAAATAATAAAATCCATTCGGTTCTGATGTAAGGGTTTCTATTTTACCGCCTATATTTTTTTAAAAAATTTGCCACATGACATGTCAAAGGGAAGATATAACGATTGGTAAAAAAACATAATATGCTATTTATATTTTTTTTTCTCGGCTATATTATAACCAGATTAGAATTTAAATTTTTTGGAAATGAAGAGACTCATGTGAAGTCCCAAATTAAGGATTCACCTAGAGACCAAGGTACAAAAGTTAAACCATCTAGCCTTAGGCCATCATCTGATGATAAGTTAGCAGACTCCAGAATGTTTGGTATTTGGACCCTAGTAAGAGAACGGCTAATCACTGAATAAATCGCTGAATGCCTTGCATGTCTGCCTTGACTATATATACAATTAAGACCATGTCTCCCTTTGGAATCAATCGATATTTACATTTTATGTATTGGTTGAATGACTACATCGAATTCGATGGCCTATGATAACTCTTAATTGTTCATCTGATAAGTGATCACTTATGTTCTTCTAACTGACCCATTGAAATTTATAAACAAATATTTTTTTGGCCCTAAAATTATCTAAATTGTTCTGCTCGGCCAATAATCATTTTTTGCATGGGTAAAAAGATATAAATTAGCACTAATTCTAGGCATAAAAAATTTGACGATCATAAAATTAGTCCACCTAGTAAAAATATTTGGCAAAAGTTGGCCGGTCTTATTCTAGAATCCCATGGGACGCACCTTAAACATCTATAATATATATAAAAGCCTTGTCACAAAAATAGCGTTACGCTCTCATGTCCCACTTTTCATATCACACTTTATAATATATATTCAAAAAATCGTTAATTTTGTAAAATGCCTATGGCCCAATTGGGCAGAACTTTGCTTAATTATTGGACTTGGGTTCGAATCCAGACAAATGTTTTTTTTCTCTTAATCTGGTAAAATATTTTTTTTCTTAATCTGACAAAATTAATCAAATAGATACGATTCAAAGTTTGTAGCTACTTTAAAATTCAAACTATTTTCCTGCACAAGATAATTAAATACATTGAATACACACCTAATATTATACCTATTCCTGAATATTTAGGGATCATTAGAACTTTATATGCATCAAGTACCAATTCAAGTACGAGATTTATTTAAATACTTTTTTAATTCATTTAAAATTTAAACCATTATATCGGGAATCAGAATTTTCTCTTTTATTTGACGAGGGAGGAATCAGAAATTTTCCTATCTTATGAGGTGTTATTTAAAAATTTATATTTATTTGGGGTTATTCTAAAATTTTCCATTATTTTTATAAAATATGTTAATAAAGTATATATTTAGTATTTTAAATTTGTATGTACAATTAAAAAGTCTTTTAAATTAAATTTTTATTCATTTGTATTTTATAATCTAAAAATTTATTCTTGCTAGATGAGAGTTTTATGTTAAAACCCTTAAGAAGGATCCATTCCACATTGAATTTTACTTTCTACATGCATTCCATAGTTTTGTATATTTTCTCATAACTTCATAATTTAATTGTAGAATGTATATTTTTCAAACATTTTTGATTAAATGTATAACTTTTTTGTTTTACTTATATATAATTTGACTACATGATTAAAGTTAACCTCCTATTATTTGTTATCTTAGAATATCTTTTTATTTTTTCTATTGTAATTTAATAACAATGTCTTAAATTTAAATTTATATTTTGTAACTAAGTAATAAATCATTTGGAAGGGTGGTGGTTTGTTTAAAATTTAAATTAGGATTAACATATTTTTAGCATAGTACTTTATATGTATTCATGATTTTCATATAAATACCAGGAGCTAACCAATAGAATGATAGGTAAATCAGATATTTCCCCTTCATTTGATCCTAATTTTGAAAAATTTTCCCAATAATATAAATGGCAAAAAAAATATATACATATTAGACAGATTTAATTCTTATAAACCCCTACATCACACCTATTTTTCTGGATCCAAGGAAAAAATAAATTATTCTGGGTTTTCCTGGGTTTGGGAAATATTTTTCACAATTAATATGGACTTGGAAGTAGCTTGGGAAACATTTTTTAAAATTAATATAGTCTTATATTCCTGAAAATTTTTTAATTTTAAATATGGAGTTAGAAATTGGCCTGAAAATTTCTTTTGGAGACATGGCCAGGCCTGATCAAAAACCAAGGCCCATGAACATATTCTGATTGTATTTTTAAATGCATTGTGACTTTTTATAAATTTTATTTCAGTTCTCAACTATCAAAATTATTATGGTCTTTTTGATAAAATTTTCCCAAGTACGTGGACCTGGCTTGTGAATTTTTTTAATATTAGGCATAGGTGTAATATTTAACACAGAATATTTATATGGCCCTTAGGTAAAAGCTAATTTAATATATTTTTATTCAAAAATAGTATTCATTCTCAGTCTTAATGGGTTGGCCTTTGTCTGAAGTAGGTGAGCTGGGTTAAAATAGAATAAAAAAATAAATATGGTTTTTAGAGATTTACCTATCTCCCGGGTTGGGAAAAAATTTTGAAAATTACTATGGGGTGCCAGGCTTGGGAAAATTTTTATAGGTTGGGCTGGGTTTGAAAAATATTTTTATAAATTATATTAGGCTGGGCTTGGGGAAAATTTTTCAAAAATATTATGAGCTAGTGAGGATTTTTTTATTATTAACTATGAGTCAGACATTGGCTTAAAAAATTTTTTTTGCAGGCCTGGGCTTGGCCTGATCAAAAAACCTAGGCCCATGAAAATCTGATTTTGATTGTATTTTTAACATTATGATTATTTAAATATTTTATTTCAGTTCTCAACTACCAAAATTATTATATTCATTTGGCTTGGAAGAATTTTTTAAAATTATTATGTGTACTTTGCCTGGAAATTTTTTTAATATTAAATATTAGGTATAAATAATCAGTAATATTTAACAAATAATATTGGTATTATCAAGTAAAAGCTTTAAATTTAATTTTACCAAACCATAGTATTTACACTTAGTTTTAACGGATTAAACCGGGCCTGAAGGGGGGGGGAAGGGATTAAAAGAATAATAATTAGATATTATTTTCAAATAAGAGGTAACAACTATAATAAAAGTAAGAAAAAAAATTCTCATTCCCCGTCATTTTTGACGGGCTATCTTCTAGTCTTTATCTGATAAAAAGGGAAGAATAGTATAAAAATATAAAATTATAACCATTTTTTATACATCATGGAATTGACATATTCAAATTTGACATTTATAATATATTCATAAATTTAACTATAAATTAATATTTCTTTTAATCATTAAAATATTTTGCATTATTCGCGCATTATTTTACTATTGAGAGGTGGTTGATATTTAATAACATTTGTAATTTACTTAAAAAAATAAAACGGTTTTTTTCGGGGAAATATTGGAGAAATTTGAGGAATCCGTGCAAAAACCAGACTTTTTTAGTTGAATATTTGAATCATTCTCATCAATATCAGAATCCTATAATAAAATTTATAATTCCTAGAAAATTTTTAACCCACTCTTTACATTTTCCTGTTATCTTTGAATAATTGGAAATACTATATATCCAATAATAACAATATTTAAGAACTGCTATGTAACCAATTTTTTGTTTGTTGCATATCTTTTATAAAAATGAATCTAAGCAGTGGCGTAGCCAGAATTTATCATGGGGAGGGGGGGGGGTAACTGTTATTATATGGAACCGAACTGAAACGTTAAAAAATTTTCACCTGAACCGAACCTATAAAAATTCAGGTGAACCGGTTTGAACCTTTTGATATTAATTATTTTTAGACATTTTTATATATTGCCATTTGACGGTGCTAACTACCAAAGTTAGCATATAGACATTGGCGTCACTAGCCTTTACAATATCGGGACTTAAAAATTATATTTTTTAAATTTCTGCGAATAGACTTCCTTTATAAAGGTATGTTTAAAATTGATTCAAATTTTTCATGGGGCCAGATTCCCTGCCGCTCTTTAGTAACGCTATTGCATATAGAAGTGTTCTCATTCTTAAGATTTTTCTTACCAATTTTAGAGAATAATGATAAAAAAAATATTTTCTTTACGGTTGAACCTATATTATTATTTTTCACCAACCTGACCATGAACCGGGTTTTTTTTTATCTGAACAAGAAAAATATAGAAGGACTAAATATCTGGTTTGCGCTAATATTTAGTGCTTGAAGTTTGGTAGATAGTTTAAAAAAACGCATTATTGACAAGAAAAAATTGACAAGGCTAGAAGGAAAATTTAGAAACACTGAATATATGGGTGGGCCAATATGTAATACCTGATTATTACTAATTCATCAATCATTCCAGTGAATATATAAAAGCCAGTTATAAGTGAAACCGTGAATCGTAAATGGATTCCAAATTGCGATTCAATTGCTTCTAAATAATATTATTTGTTCTTTTCGGTTTATTTAATAAATATACAAGAAAAATAGTTTAAATCTCTATATATTTTGAATCTAAGTATATGTTCTAGAATTTAATATGAATCTGACTTTTATTAAAACGCAATCCTTGAAAGTAATCATTTAAAAGCTTAGGCCAATATGTAATGCATGAATAGTATAATTTTTT